TTCGTTCCTCAATGTGACCAGGTTTCAATAATATGAAAAAACAATCAAAGAAAGTGAAAAAACACTCTGTGAGAAACAAACAATTTAATAGAGAAAGTAACTTATTAAAATAAATAATATAAATTTCACCCTAAATCCCAATTAGGCCCACTGATTTCTTTCCGTGCTGCCACGCCCGTCGCACCGCCTTAAAGTTTTCGCACGCCCAGTGTTTAATTGCTGTAGTTTCCCTCGATATTTCCCGCCCTTTACTGGATTATTTTTCTGTTTTTTTTTTCCCCCCCCACCCTGAAACGACAACAATGGCCGGCAAGTGGCAAAAGTTTTTGGGTCAGCTAGGGGCGCCAAAGGGTTAAGGGCTAAAGCGACCGGCAGGAAGGGGGTTAACCAGGAGGAAGAGGCACTGCTGAACTGCAGTTGAAGTTGAAGCCGGTTAATGGCCAGGCAAATGAGCAAAACTGGACAAGCGGCTAATGAGCAGCGGCCAAAGAGAGAGAGAACAAATTTATACACAAATATGAAAATGGGAAAATCCCAGGCAGACATTAAAACAAAAAATTACAAAATGGTGGAACAGGGGAAGGTGTACAGTTGCCTCAATTTGCGGCAATTGAAAAAAAGGTGAGGGGTCTAAAAGGGATTTACAAGTAAGACCCTTAGTAATTGTTTTATTAATTTTTTATGAGATAAAAAATAGGAAATATGATTTTTTATAAATAAAGTAAAAGAAATATATATCATAAAAATATTCTTATTAATGGTAAAATGTTGTAGCTTGCGCTGGAATATAAATAAATATAATATATAATATATGTATATATATTTATTTTAATTATATTTAATTAAATTTAATTTTTTTCATAATTAATTTTCATTAAAAATCTTTGAATATCCTGGCATCCCTTGCCGTTAACTTACGTTTTTATTTATACCTTTTTGTTTGCTTTATTTCAATTAACCAGCTTCGATTGGTGGGTTTCCCTCTTTTTTTTTTCTTGTTGTCCGAAACGCCAATTCCTTTTAATAAATATTCGCACATTAACGAAAACTCATCGACATCAATTCTGCCAAAGACCTTTATTTTCCGCCCCCGCCTTTTTTCCCGACTTTCCCCAGCATTTGCGCAGCGCTAATGGCAAAAACAATAAATTTTCAGCGAGCCACACACAGTCGCTTCGCTCCCCTCTGATATCCTTTCAATCCTTACATGTTTCGTTATTTCGTATGTTTTTTTTCTTCCTTTCTTTTTGCGCTTTTTTTAAATTACTTTTCAGCATTTAAAATGCGGCAAAATGAATTGACAGCGATTTCCGTTGCTGAGCAGACGCCTTTAGTTTAATTATTTGCGCAGTTTAAACCGAAGGATAAAGGCGAGGAAGGAACAGAGGAGGAAGGATTGCTGGAGCCCCCGGTGCACACATGTGTCAATTAATTATAAAAAAGTATTCACATTTATTTTTGCGCCTGAGAATTGAGCAAAGAAAAACAAACAGAAGAGGCGCGGCGATGGAATAAGGATGCGAGTGTGTAAATATATATATATATATATATTTATGTGTATGTATATGTATGTGTGTGTGTGTGTGTATGGCACAATCCCCTTTTGCACAGTTCCATAATAAGGCGTTAATCATGTTGACGCGCTTCTGTTTTCCACGACCCTCCCCCAATCATCCCAAACTAACAAGATTTGGTGAAAAATGTGCTCAGGTCTTGAAATTAATTCGCTGCGGCAGGAACAAGGAGTCAGGAATACTTTAAATATATATTTAACAGTGAAAAAATATTAATATATATATATATAATTATTAAGGTATATATACATATATATGTCCTTAAATTTCATGGGAAAATCATAGAAAAATTATCTTAGAGTAAAATATAAATTCCAAAGCTCCCTTTTATTTCCACTTTCCAATTAATATTTTATATATATTGAAGATCTATATAAAGCCTTAAAGTGAAACCTCTTTAAAGTGGCAGACCCAAGGATAGTACCTTGATGGTGGCCCGAACCTCTTCATGTCAAGCGGAATGCTGTATAATCATTACGACTGGCCCCTTGAAGTATGCAATGTTGGCAGAAGCCCTGACATGGTCACCGAGAACGTGGAAAGGGGAATGGTTGATAGGGGGGGGCTGGGGGTGGTAAAATTCGGGGTAAAGGAGCAGGATTCAACGAGGCAACAAGGACAGGCGGCAAAGCAAACAAACAAAGCAGCCAAGCAAAATGAAAACAAAAACAAAACGACGGCGAGCAGAAGCAACAACTGGTAGCTGCTCACAAGCATAAGCACACACACACATACACTCATAACATATACACAGAGAATAATAAATATTTAAATAAAGTAAATATACAACAAATAAATCTAATTAACATACTTAACTAAAATAAAATAATAAAAAATAGTAATAATAAAAACATACAAAAAGTTATTAACTAATATAATTGCTTTTCTATAATCTTTTATTTTTTCAGTGTACTTCTTCCTCTGTGACTTGGCAGCTGATAGACAAGCGAAGCAGAGGCTGAGAGAGAAAAATTTGAGTGGGGAAAAGCTAGGGGAACCTGAAGTTTCAGGCATTCTCTATATCCTTGTTCAGGTGACAGGCGCTGTTTCGCTCACAAAAATGATAATAACTGGGCAAGCAATATAATGTGTAGAGCGAGGTGGCTGGTGGCTAGTACAGTGCACAAAATCTAAGAAAAATAAATCAAAATGAATCTTGTATTAACAAAAAATAATAATACAAACTTTATTTAAACAAATACTAAATAAAATAAATTATAAACCTTTTTAGTGTTTTTGGCTTTCAATCAATCGATTCGTAATCTCTAGCTCTTTTTGAAACTAGATTTTTAATAAATTTGATAAAAATTTGTTAAAATTTGATCAAGAATTATCGGATATTCCCTTTTAAAACTTCATTTCATCAAGTTTTCATCTCTTCTTTGGCTTCTTCTCATCTCGCCTGCCTTTACCATTGTTAATCTCTTGTTCAGCCCTTGCCCCACACGTTGCATCCTTGCCTTCTTGCTTTTATTAGCCTTCACACACACGCACAGATCTTTTCTTGGTGTGTGTGCACACCTTTTGTTGTTGTTTTTTTGTCTCTTTTTTTTCGAGTGTGCCAAAAATATAAATATGGTCCAGGGCTTTGCTCCATTTTTATACACTCTCCACTTGGACTTCATTTCGGCCGCCTCCTTTATCCTCTCGTTCCGCTCCTTTGCACCTCACTTCCTCCGCCTTTTATTTGTCCGTTCCTTTTTGCTAGTTTCTTTTTTTTTCTCATATTTTTTTCGGCTTTGTCGCGTCGTGTGTTTTCTATGTGTTTGTGTCATGCAGTTGACGTGCGCTTATTTTCTATTCCGCTCCATATGTCACGCTAGTTTTCGGGCTACAAGAGAAGGGACGGGATGGGGGGGGAGGTGAAAAGGAGAAGGAGGGGGGAAAGAGAGGGGGCGCGGAGGAGCAGAGGTTGTGCTGCATCTCTTCAATTTTTCGTGTTGCCTGCTTTCTTCTGCTGCTTTTTGCTGTGAACCTTTTTTTGTTTGCTACTCCTTTTTTCTGATTCGACTTTAAACATATGTATACCCTACTATATATGGTGTTTTTAGGGTTTTAAATTAACAATAGAAAAATAGTTTTATACTTTTGTCTGAATAATGTTGCAATATTTATAATACATATGTAAATAGAATTAAATTATTTAAAAGTTTATTATTAATAGAATTTACTAGAATATTAGTTCAACTTGAAAAATACCCTAAAATGTATATCTAAAATGTATTAAATTTTCAATATTAATTAATTTACATATATTAGTAAAATAATAATATTTAAATTTTAGTTTTATATTAAAAATAAATCCTTTTCGTTAAAGAAAATGTGTTCACATCCTTTATAATATTTAAAAAAGTGTTTGTCAAAGCCCTAGAACACTAGAATATAGTATCGTTGCATACTTTTGGGCACCAAATTAATTACAAACCTATTTCAAAAACCCAAACTTAATGCTATTTTTTGTGAGCACTTAAATCCAACATTTCTTTGAATTTGCTCACTAAGAGTATTACAGGTACATTCCAAAATCGCACTTTAATTCCTTTAGCTTCGTCCTTAAACAGTGTTGTTAGTTCAACTGTGCATGTGTGTATGTTGTGTGTTCTATGTGCAAGATTTTGTGTCTGGTTCTGTGCAAAATTTTGTTGTATAAATTGCGTTGGGAATAAGAATTGAGTTCTAAAGAGATTTAATGGCATATGCCATCTCGCTCTCCATATTTGCCTGTCTCTTTCTTTCGACCGGCTGCGGAGCATCTTGCTTGACTTCTGTCTTCAGCTTCAGCTTCAGTCTCAGCTCCTTCTTGTTCGCTGCAAATGGATCTAAACAATATGTGTGCTTATATAAAGCATTTTGGCTTTGTCAATTTTGCATTTTCATTCTCTGCATTTTCGGGGCAATACCAAGACCAATACCAAGACCAAGCGACCCAGGGGCGTGGCATGGGGCGGAACAGAGAGTGTTGGTGGTGAGCATGCAGTTCTGGCCAAATCACTCGAGTCCCGTTTTCTGTTTCCCATTTAATGCACTGCATTTGAGAATCCGTTTACTCCTTCCCCTTTTGTCACTTTGTGTTCACAAGGCGCTTATTAAAAAAATATATAGAAAATGCTTTGGATCCCATGGAAGAGGTGCCGAAAAGTATGCAATTCGTTGGACCATCCAACGAGAAAATTGAGTCACCATTTTTGCAGCACTTTTATACACTTTCAGGGTATTATCATTTTAGTTAAAAGTTGTTGGCACAGTGAAGAAATCATTTTCGTTAAAGGAAAGATATTCTCTTCCCTTGTAATACTAAATTTAAAATGACAATCCTTGTTGTATAACATTACGATAGTTGTCTAGTTACGATAGTCTCTAGTTTGGCTTATCAAACCTTAAAGTTATCGATATATCACATATAAAGTTATCGATTATCACATTTGTTACTTGCCGTCAAATTATTTTTTCTTCGTTCATTCGTTCAAGAGGGAAAATCTTAAAAAATCAAGAACATCCTGTAGAAATGGAGCAAACCCAAAAGACATGTGAGAATACCAACGAGCAGGGAATCGAGGAACTACCACCGTCTGACGAGAAGGACTCTGGTCCCGCTGAACCCCAAGACCGGCCACGAGGTTCCCGTCGTGCTCGTAGGTAAGCCTTCCGATCTTTCGTGCGGCTTTCGTAGATTTGTTTATGTAGCGCCGTCTTCAACCTGCTTTATAAGTACGAGTTTTCACGAGATTTCCTCGCCGCTTTTGTTGGGTGTCTCAGGTACATTTGCAGACTCTGTAAATGTGGTAGTGGAAGTGACATTCACACAGATTCGCTTTTGCAATATTTTCTTGCAGTCTCACTGATGAATTTTTGGCCCACATGCGGCGGTCTCTTGAAAAGAATCTGGATGAGCCTAAGGAGAAATCGTCTAAAGAGTCCATCCAAGGCAAGTACTTTCCCAAATACCTGCTAATAGCTAACACACTTGCCTCTGCAGTTGTGGCAGAGGAAGAAGAACCCGGCGAGTCTACTTCTCTCCAAGGAGATAATGAGGACGATAAGGACAAGACAGAGGCATCCCGTATATACATTTATGCAACTTCACCCCATGATGATGAAGACACTAAGCCCGATCAGTTGAATGACGACGAGGAATTCGAGGAAAACGAGGCCTCCGTCGACGATCCAGAGTCTGAAATTGAAGACTCCTCGGACTCTGACGTTGACAACAATGTTTAAGGATTCTTTATAGATATAATGGTACACATATTTTTTCAATATCATTTAATTACATGAAAAAAAAAAACATATTTCCACGATAAACTGTAAAATCTTGTTAAAAACGCGGCCCTTTAAACAAAACAAAAATAAAAAATTGGAAAAATTTGTATCAGCTTGAAATATGCGTTCAACGAACTTTGGGCCCACAAGGGGGCGTTAAAGGAGGCGTGGCGCTGCATGGCTGGGCGGTTAAAATCGCCTGCAGTTTTTCGAAAAAGCTTGGTAATATGAAAATTGCACTGGCTGTTAACCCTATTTGCAGTTGCTTTTGTGCCATAACCCCCCTCCCCCCACCAGTTAACCCTTCTTGGCCCCATGCCCTATGTTGCCGTTGTTGTTTTTGTTGTTTATGCTGATTTCGTATCATCAGAGATTTCAGCTTGATGGCCTGTCAGGCTTTGAAATGCAAGCTGGCAGAGTGAGCGAATGCGAGCTATTTATGCACTGAAAGAAAATTAAATTGTTAACTTAAATTTTATGAATTCAGAGAAAACTGAAAGATAATATTTCAATTATTATTTTTTTTTATTTATAATATTTTTGTTTTATTTTATTTTAATTTTAAGAGGCAGAAGTATGTCTAAATCTAGCCTTCTTTTAACGTTAAATCTATAATTTAAATATTTTAATACTTATTTATTTATTCTAAACGGAAAATATAGGTTTTAAAAAGACTAATCATGAATTAAAGAGTATTAAATAAAAAGAAAATAACTTAAAATAAAATAATACAATGTAAATACAAAATATAATGTAAGAGAATATATTACTTACCTGAGATATTTTCTAGAAATTGTTAGAAAGTGCTGTAAGCATTTATTATTTTTTCAACCCCCTCCGCTATTTTCCCAGTGTATCCATTGGGGGCAAAAAGTGTAGCATACTTTTCAGCGCTGCCTGATTATATGAAGCCCAGCAGTAAAACAGGGGCACACTGCAGGAGGGGCAGTGGAAGAGGCAGACGCTGCTGGAGCTGCTGCAAGTGTGGACGAATGTGTTGCATCTGCGGGATGTGAGGTGGTGGATGGGGCATATGTGGAGAAACTGAAACCCGGCAGCTGACAGCAGTGAAAGGGGAGAGAGCGGAGAGGATGGCATGCGTGCATCCTCCGGTAAAAAATAAAACCTGCCGTCTACCATGAGAAGACCCAGGTTTCGTATTATCTTTGGCCAGCGGCGTGTAAATCATTTTGTATGCATTAAATCGTCTTCCGCTTGTTAAGCCCCCCGTCCTTTGCCGACGCCCCTGAGCTACCTCATTTATATACATAGATTTTTTTCCCCTGATGTGCAACGATTTTTTTGCCTTCGTCTTCGTTTTGCAAGTTAATTTTTAACCAAATCTAAATTAGTTACGCATGTGTGCCGCTAATTTAGTAAAACTAGAATGCAGAAAACCGAAAAAAAAACCCTTGAGCATTATCTGTGTGTGAAATGCATCAAAAAATTGGCTAAGAGAAATCAGAGGCAGGAAAGATACGATGTGAAAATGGGAAAAATAATGAAGGTTTCTTTAGCTTTTTATACTCTTGCAGGGTATTATAATTTCAGTCAGAAGTTTGCATCAACGCCGAGCCGATCTAGTCATGCCCTGCTTACTTAGATTTGCTTTAATACCTGTAATTTTTAAATAATTTTTTAAACAAAAATGAGCAAAAAACTAATTTTCAAAGGGTGATAATTCAGCCAAAAATGCATGAAATTCAAGTTGGTAATTCTAAGCTTAACAATACTTTAATACTTACCTGTAATTTTTAAATAATTTTTTAAACAAAAATTAGCTAGAAACTGATATTAAAAAGGTTCATCATTTACTCAAAAATGTGTCAAATTTATATTATTTCAGAATTTATTAATTTTATGAAAATCGGGAGACTATATCGTATAACTGACATAGGAACGATCGGGAAATTTATAGAACAAAATTATAGCTTCGTTTTTCGTTTTTCAACGTATTTTCATCTTCTCTGAGATATAAGCTTTTGTTATTATTTCAGAATTTTGGTATACATTTTATGAAAATCATATAGCTGCCATAGAAGCGATCGGTAGATGTAGAGAAAATGTAAAGCTAGGAATGTAACTGTAACTGTCAAACTGTTTTATGTGTGTTTTCAGCATTTTATTTATGTTATGAATAAATATACAACTTTTATATATTTTCTTTTATTTTTTTTTTTTAATTATTTAACCAGAATGGCTCGATTCTTAGTCATCCAATTGCAATCTGCAAGGGTAGACAAACTTCGGAGTATCGAAGTTAACTTCCTTTCTTTTTAATATATACAAATTCTAGTTATATTGTAAAAACTACAGTTAAATAATATATTGATTTTAAATTAAAGTTCAATTTAATCTTTCAATGTATTTCATTTAATTTTTACTACTTTCTCCTCGAGTATAAACAAGTTTTGAGGCTTAAACTGAAACGGAAACTATTAAAACCATACAAATTGCTTATTTTTATTCAATACTTTTGTAGAGGACACTTTTTCAAGTTGTTACATTCTTAAAAATGATTTTATACCCTTTTTATTTGTATATTTATAAGTCTTCTTAGCCCCGCCACCTGTCAGCGAACTTTAAGGACAACTAAAGTAAAACTATTTCCAAGGGAGGAGCACGACCCAGGCGATGCCAAGATAACCGGAAATGCTTGGCCGAGGCAGAGGACTTTCCACTATTTCCGGGGAAAATAAAGGATCCGCACACACACACACACACACATACACACAGGCAGAATACTTTAATAAAGACAAATGCCAAATTGCTTGTGGCAGCATTTGACCTGAACTTTTTGGGCTCCAACTCCGGGCAAGTTTATTAATGTTTGACCAAAAGAGAAAACCTCCTCCCAAGGAAAACCTTTGGCGGAAAAACCTCGGAGAAAACATTTGCGGTGTGCGTGTGTCAACTGCTTTTGCTAATTTGTCTCCAAGGAAATCATCGCTGGCTTTTTTTTTTTTTTTGGCAACTTTCTTTTTTTTTTTACTTTTTATTATGTTTGTTTTGAATATGTTCTTTGCTTTTTATGGTCCGGAAATTTTCACCAGCAAAACAACAACAAAAAAAATAAAACCATTATAATTTCGAGCGAAATTTGTTGGAAAAGTTGGAAATTAATTATGTGAAAGGAAAACGGAAAAGGTGGTGGTGGTTGCTTTGCGCTGGGCATTTATTTCGTGTCGTTGAATCTTTGCAGCTTATTAGGTGTTTTCATTTGGTTTTACTTTTTGTTTATTTGTTTGTTTTTAATATATTTTTAAATGTTTTTTAAAAATGTGTTATATTAGCTTGAGGGATAGATATTTCTCTGCATTTTCCCCTACTTTAACATCTCTTCTTTTTAGTCTTAAAATCTTTGTAGTTTTATAAATATTTATGCAAATTTCTCTTGGTTATTTCTGTTACTGAATCCGTAGTTGTTATTCATTATCGTTGCGGTTGTTTTTCGCTCGATTTTTCCCTTTGATTGGCCAACAGTTCGCTTATTAATTTATTAATTCTGTTGTCAGCGAAGGCGCTGCACGTGTTGCTGTTAATTACATGAAAATTGCTACGAGTTTCACAATTTCGCTCAGTGTGCGTACGTGTGTGTGCTGTGGGGCTGAATCAATTTAAATTTATGTGCCAGTATGAGTGGCTGACTGGCTGGCTGGCCTTTTGTGTGAGCAAGTGAGTGAGTGGAGGCCAGGCATTCATATGCATATTTTATGTTTGGTAGTTTATTTATGGGAAAACGTTTATACAACCGCCGGGCAGTCGCCGTCTGTGCCGAAACCAAACCCGAACCCCAAGTTTCAGTCCCAGTCCCAGCCCACTTTGAGATCCTGCTTCTGCCCCACTTTGAGCTCCTGCCTCCTCTTTGGGTTTGGGGTTGCCTACACAAATGGACAAAGGCTAGTGACAGTTTTGGCCCTTAAAGTACTTGATTTGGGAGTGTTTAGAGCATTATTTTCATGCCAAATAGGTATTAAGTATTTTTAAAAAGTTATTTAAATGTTAAAATAAGGATTTTTGTGGTAAAAAACAACAGGAAGTCCACTAACACTAGGCACTTATATATATTATTTTATATGGGTAATAATAGTGTTTTTTTTTTTTTTTCATTAAAGATCTTCTTTACAAACTTTATAAAGCATATTTTTATAATTCTAATAAGTCTTCTTTGGCTTAATAAATTTTAAAAAATTATATAAATATTTCTAGGGTCTCCTCAGTTAATTAATCCACTAAATACATACATACTACTAAACATGCTCAAATGTTCTATAATCATCTTAAATAAATAAATAGATTTATATACTATGTATATACTTCTCCGTCTCTACATCTTGCTTTTTATTTGCCAAAAAAAACTCCTGGTTAGACCCTCCTAGGTTACCTTTAAACACGAACATCCCATTTGAGCTGGAGCAGGAGTTCAGTTACTCACATGTCAGGTTAGACGCCGAAGAAGACCTTTTCGTGTGGCGTGTTGAGTGCCTAATAAAATCATAAAATAGCAGGTGTTCAGCGCGCCACAAAACGCCCAAAAAGGACAAGCCGAAAAAGCATACATACACCGAGAACAAAAAGGGAAACATGTATATACATATATGTATGCTATAATGGCCACCCAGCGTCATATTCGGTATTATTAATAACCCTTTTTCTAAATGAAATTTTGTGGCAGAAAACATTTCGCTTGTCACTTTGCCAAGGCGAAACGAATGACACAAGTACATCACACAGAACCCCCAGACACATTGCCATACATCTGGCTATATATATATATATGAATATATATGTATGTATGTATATGTATATAAATGTATATATACTTAGACATATGAACCTAATCTGCCCTTTTATTACAACGGTAGCAGGGTTTTTTCAAGTCGTTTTAGTTGTCTTATTTACTTGTAAACATTCTTATACAATTTTTGTTATTATTTTGCTTAGTTTTTTAGGTTTAAAATAATATGTAATATTTATTTGTAATATAAAAATTATTCTTTAGTAAAAGCTTAAATTAATTAGCTTTTATTTAAGAATAATTTTTTTTTTTATAATTTAAATTTAAAGTTT